TAGGTACCACAGAAAAGTCACCCATCAATCATCAATGACTATAAACATGTTGCCTTGACATCCCACATCATGAAGGTCCTGGAGAAATTCCTGTTTGTGACCTGAGTAAACAGATATGCACATATCAGGACCTCCTGCAGTTTGCTTATCACTATGGAGCTGGAGTTGAAGACACCATCGTACACCTGCTTCAACAAACCCACTGTCATCTGGACAAAGCAGGCAACATGATTCCAGATCTAACAAGAACATAAAGGGAGAGGGCAAACCTGGAAAATTTTAAATAAATAAACTTCTGTGTTTTTCCTTTTTTTTCTCTTCTACATAAAAAGGTTTGAGTTTTAAAGAGATTTCTTTATGGCACTTTTGCTGTCTCCCTTTGTCACCTAATATATTCAAAGAACTTTATGATGCTCCTAGGAACTCTTAATTGCTTCCAACAAAACCCTTAATCCCACTTTTGAGTGGAATACGAATTTACAGCAACCAGCAGTGGCTGTTCCTGCAAACTACAGCAGTCCATCTGTGAATAAAATCCAAAGGGAGCAGAGATATACTCGGGTGTAAATCCTACCTACTCCTGTTTCCCAGCCAAACTCTTCCATAACGATAGTTCAAGCAAACTTCTCAGACGGCTGTAAAAACTGTAGGTTGTTTGGATCAAAACAAACTGAACTGAGATCAGATTGTTTAGGCAGAAAAAAATTACGTGCCAAAGGCAAACACCATGATGTGGCAGCAGTGTGTGAATATGATATAGCACTGCCCAATGTATCAAATGTGCTCTAAAAAAGATGTTTTGCATGACTTGGCCTTCAAGGGCCATGCACTTACTTTGCTGAGGTGAGACCTTTGCCGATGATCCAACGTCCCATCCCCTCTGAGGACAGGTGAAGACACCTCAGAGAGCGAGCTGCTAGGGTTAGTAGCAGCCTGCTGGTGAGGGGGGGAGAAGGTGTTGTAGAGCGCCAAGGACCCATGAGACGGGGAGGTGGAGATGGAGCGTGCCACAGCATGCTCAGAGATGTTTCCCATGGTCTTTGTGCTGGGCAGGGTGCCGTAATGACCCACTGGCAACCACAAGTCACAGCAAATTCAAAATTTCTGATTAAATTACAAAATAAAGTTGACTGTTATAAATGCTAATTGAAAAAAAAACAAAAACAGCTGAGATATCTCTCTAAGGCTACATTTACACTGCAGGCTTCAACACTCAATTCTAATTTTTTTGTGAAATCTTAATTTTTTGCATTCACACTTCCAAATATATGCAACTTGTATGTGATCGATTGCATGAACTGCAAGTGACCTGAGGGCGCAGTAATGCCACACGCAGTGAGCACGCTCAGTGTTTAG